TGGTATGTTGTAAATACCTTTTCAATGAGTTCAATACACGCGAGCAAATCCATTCCGAAATCAATGAAATCCCAATTAATACCCTCTCTCTTATACTCTTCCTGTTCCAACACAAACATGTGATGATTGAAAAATTGCTGCAACTTTTCATTTGTGAAATTAATGCACAACTGCTCGAAACTATTGTACTGTTTGTTTGTCGGTTGGAATCATTGGGTAATTTTGAAATAATGGATTGGTTTGGGGTTTGGGCCCATTTTTATAAGGGGTTTATAATACAAGATATGGGTATTTAAGGGTAGAATTGGAAAGAAAAGAAAAAATTGGATTAGAAATTGTGTTCAATAATAACTTACTCTTTCAATTAGTTCAATACAAGCGGCCAAATCCATCCCGAAATCAATGAAATCCCATGCAATGCCCTCCCGTTTGTACTCTTCTTGTTCGAGTACAAACATGTGGTGATTGAAAAATTGTTGCAACTTTTCGTTAGTAAAGTTGATGCAAAGTTGTTCAAAACTATTCAACTAAATTCAATTCAAACAACTTAGTTATTTGGACCACACATTATGGTTATTAAATATATTTATCATTGGCTATACTACTGTACATTACGCTAGACTAATGTTATCCAATTAATATATTGGTTAATTTGAAAATGTCTTTTAAATGAATCAATAATGTTACGTAAAAAATAAATTAAAGTAACTCAAAAAGGTTAGTTTGATAATTAAATACTTAAACAGTTTGATAACATTACTAATGAATACTAACGTCGAAGATCTCAAAGCCTGCGATATCGAGTACACCAATAAAGTACTGTCTCTTCTGTTTGGTGTCGAGAGTTTCGTTACATTTCTTGACCATCCATTTGAAGCATCGGTCGAACATAGCCTTAGCCATAGCGCCGATAGAGTAGGAGACCTGATCCTTGCTCTTACCCTGAGTGACCATTTCTGTGCCGACCTTTATCCTGGGTTTACAGAAATTCTTGTACAGATCGGAGGCGTTAACGCCAAGCAAATGGGCGACGCGTTCGCCTTCTTCGGTGCCGTCGGGTTCGCACTGTTCCTCTCGCGGCCTTTGTTTGAATTTCATGGTTCCGATGTGCATAACAGAGGCTGTTATCTTATATACGTTGTGTTTCTCCTCTTCAGTGAAACCCAATACATCGAAAGCGTTCTGATTTGTCGTGTAAATTGGTTTGTCATTCAAATTCATTAACAATTAACATTCATTTTTAGTCAAATAAAGCGGTGAACAGAAAGGCAACGGATAGGAAAGTGACATAGAATTAGGAATAAAGGAAGTAAAGGAATATTATGTTAGTTAAGGCATACATACGGACAGAGAATACATATAATTAAAACAAACGTAAAATTCCATAATTTGATTAATACTTTCATTTGATATAACAGTACAACAGTAAAAGATATAGAAATGATAGAATTATAAGCGCTTATAAATATATTGAATATTATAAAGAACTGAACTTTATATAGAACTGTAAAAGGATTTAGACATCTAATAACATAGATTTAAAGATAAAGAATAGCTAGATAGAAAAATTGATAGAATAATAAAGTTGGTGCCAGGTCCTTTGAGACTCACGTTGGTAATTCTGAACTCATCGCCATCACTGACCCCTTCAATCTCAGTTCTACCCTGAGATATAAAGTGGTAGAATTTGATGTCTTTTGTGAGCAATAGCTCCTCTGAAAACGAGTATAAAAATCAAGAAATTTTTACCAATCCTTCGTCGGAAATCACCATTAAATCACATGTTATGTGTTAATAGATTTTATAACAATGTTAATATTAATTAAGGAGTAGAACTAATAATTAAATTAGGTACAACATGTTAAAATTATTACTTTTTACACATATTAATGGAGAAGTAAATGAATTGTGATAATTGGGAAATTGTTACCAATAAGTGTTTGGAAGCATTTCATTGATTATTGGATTTAATGATAGGATATATAATAGGAGTCTATTAGGGATACTAAAGGATACCACACCATAAGGTGTACAGGAGTTGTTTGGAAAGGAGTGTCATATTTTTACGTTCGGATTGTGATTAGGCATGATTGAGGTATGATTGAGGTATAATTGAGGTATGGGGCAGGTTTGGGCCAGGGTTCGGATCAGCTCTGGATCAGCTCTATATGAGGTATGGATCAGGTGTGGGTCTATATTGGACAGGAATTTTGTGAGATTCCGTCGAAGAAGTGAATTTCTGAGAGCTCTCCTATTCTGACAAATGGTGTCTCAAAGTCATCTGAAATTAAGTTATGACTACACATATAGCGAGCGCTGAATTAATAATAATTTTGATCCATTCCTTCATTCATTTGCATATAAAATACTTTTGACTCAATCGTAATGTTTGGTGTTTTTACTCACATCCGTGTCTCTAAACTCCTGGGCGTCATCGACAGACGGTATCTCAGTCTTACCCTGAGATACGAAATTGTAATCTAACACGTTGTTAGACAGCAGACATATCTCTATATTGGGAAGGGTTATCAGAATATTCTGGGTTTATTTGCTATTCAAACACTTTTGTAATTGATATTTTTACATTTTAAACCTTTTAATAATTATAACCATGTAGTTTATATTATTTGCATTTAATTAAATTATAAATTTATGGAATTTTAGTTTTAAAATAAATTTTATGCCGTAAGAGGAACAAAATCTACTCTTTTGGTAGAAATGAAGTTAAAATTGAGTTAAGATTTTAGGGATTATTTTTCGGGTTCAAAAAATTGTAGGATTCTTGGATTCATTGGTAAAATGGCATTAATAATGAATACTTTTCAAAGTGGGAAACATAAACATATAGTGGTTTAAAGTATTCAATATGTGGTTTGGGATAGTTTTGATCGAAACACATATATTCTTATGGGAATCACGAGGGAATGTATTGGGAATGTGATATAGTGTGACATAAATTCAATGGTTTGGTGGTTCAACACATAATTTTTGGGTCACTATAGGAACTATACACTGGAAGTCAATAATTGGGTCTGTAATATGAGGGCTATTGAGGTCTGAGGTCTGTGAGCAGGTCTGGGCTCTCATCACTACTCACGTCAGTATCTTTAAACTCCTGGGCGTCATCAACACCGGGAATTGTGGTCTTACCCTGAGATACGAAATTGTAGTCTAATATCTCATTAGAGAGAACACATTCCTCTATTCATTGCCGGGTTTTGGGGTTTAAATTGAATGAAAAAATATGTCCGTAAAATTAGATGAGTATTTGACAATAATAAATTTGAATCAGGTTTTTGGTAACTTTTTAGGAAATGTATAAAATACATGAAAACTACCACTATTTAATTCATTTAATACAATGAAATTAATTTAGTTTAAAAATAAATAAATTATATTTGTATAACAGGACAAAGTAAACATACCCTTAACTCCGGGGACAGAGCCTGACATGATTTGGTAGAAGATATGGTACGATCTCTCCAGAGTCTGTTGTGATATGACTCTAGCCTTCTCCAGAAGATCTGTGGGTATAAAACATGTGATAATTGACTATAATTGATGATACATGCGATACATACAGGTCTCAATGTCAGCGCCGGCCAATTTGCCCATCGGGCCGAAATGGATCCGGATGAATTTACCGAATCGGGAAGAGTTGTCATTACGCACTGTTTTTGCGTTACCAAAAGCCTCAAGTACTGGATTGGTCTGTACGACCTGATCCTCTAAATTACCCTAATGTTCCCAACAGTAATACATATATTAGTAAATTATTAAAATAATGTACTTTTCTATGCAAACGGTTTGCAGAATTTCATGCTTTGAACAAATATCCGGTATAAAAGGCAAGGAATTGATTTGTTGTCTAATGTTTTTAACACTACAAATGGTTTGGGAAAATGAGAGCATTTGAAGTCCAATTAATATGAATTTTATTTCATGCAATTTAAAATAGGTTTTGAGGTTTTGATTATCATTTCAAACCGATTTGGCAAACAAATTGCACTTTGGATTTAAATGTTGGAATAATTATTTGGTATAAATTGGGATACAATGGGATGGATGGCTGGATGTGCTGTATTTGAAAGCACAGATTATTCACTATTTGGATATGAGATATGCATTAAGTGAGTGCTGGGAAATCTAAAATCACTCCTAATAGTTGGACAACGGGTCCCGTTATATACCTTCTTAGGATCCGCTTTAGGATCGACTTTCGTACTCTTACCAACATTAGCGAAGTAAGCAATTACTTTCTTTGTATTCTCAGTTTTACCGGCACCGGACTCACCGCTAATTATGGCAAAACACTCATTAAATTATTATCATTAGATTAAATGATAGGTCAAACGGTAGGGTTTGGGGAATCACTTTAGGGTTTCATTTGGGTGTAACTGTTTTCAAAAGTGAATTTTTAGTATTTATGGATTCAATTTGGAAGGGAATGGGAGGAAACTGTTTGAAAGTTTAATTTTCGTGATCATCCGCTTTACGAGTTTTACATGATTTGCAGAGTTTTTTTTTCAATATATGAACGGCAAGTAATTTTGAGGCAAATATGCATCACATGAACACTTACTCCGGTTGAAAACTTATGTTTGAAACCCGAAGCGGCAACCGTTGCGAAATATGATATAACTTTCTTTGTGTTCTCTGTTTTTCCTGCACCGGACTCACCGCTAAAGTGGATTGGGATTAAAGGTTTGGATTTGGATTTATTTATTAATATTTATCAGAGATTATTCACGGGATAAGGAAAGTAAGGATTTTGGGGAATGATTGGACTAAAATGACTGGGAATTTGGATATTTGGGTAGGAATTTGTGTTAGGATTCGAGTATTTGTTATAATTTGGTTTTTGTGATTGATTTCAAAGCAATTTCATGGCTTCTAAACGATAACCAAACACCAGATAAAAGATGAATTGTGTGACGAAACAGAGAATCGTAGCAAATATATTGACACAACACTTACTCCGGTCGAGAATTTATGTTTGAAACCCGAAGCGGCGATATTTGCGAAATAAAAGATAACTTTTTTCGTATTTTCTGTTTTTCCAGCGCCTGATTCTCCTCTTTTTAACCGGCGTTTCAATTGTTGTTGTTTTCATTGTTTCCGTCATATTTTGGGATTTTTGATTAGTTTTGGAAAGAATGTTAATTCAATTTAAAGGAAGGGATGATTAGTTATTTGGGATATAGGGGTGGGTGTGTTGTTTGGCGAATACATACGTGATCAACATGGACTGATTCTCTCGATCTGTAAATTACAAAACAATCAAACAATATTCATTAGAATTGTAATGTTCTGTATGTTTGTGCTTATAAATTAGCAAATGTAACGCATATTCTTAACATATATTATTTATTTGTTAAAATAATGCATGAAATCTAAACGTAGATCTTTGTATATGTTTGAAATTGTTTAATAGAAAGTTTACTAATAATTAAAATCTAAAAATATTTCTTTAAACTGTAAGTCAAGTGTTCAGTGGATGTATGACATAGTGTGAGGAATGATATGCTATATACTCGATAGTAAACTGAGGACTCGTATTATCCTTAACCTTATAAGACATGCCTAACTCTATCGCACTCTTTATAGGAATCAATGGGCGAATACTTCATACTATTATTATGGCTCGAAATAAATACCATTCACTGCTTGTATGTGTGCTATAAATGAGTTTCTGTTAGAAAATCTCTGTCTTATCCCTCTCTCATTCTCTCCTTCGCTCACTTCCTCGATAGTGTTGTGGCAATAGTTATGGCAAAGAGTGCCAAATGGGCCAAAAAGGGGACACAAAAAAGTGTGTGAAGACATGTAAGCACTTACTCGTCAACATCTCGGTGTACGCGCCGTCAGAGATGGCGAACAGATGTGGCGGTACTTCAGTCTTCCTCTTTCCTCTGTACATCTGTACCACTCTATTGGTGTAAATCGGGAATCGTTTGTATGGATTGATTACCACACAAAACAGTCCAGAATATGTCTGATTGATTGAGTGAATCGATTCCGTAATGGGAAAAACATTATAGCGTTAATTGTATTGAATAATTAAATTGTTTTATGGATTTCATGCGTCAAGAATCCAGTTTCAAGGGTTGCCATTCGAGTCACACTAAATCTACATCTAATTCAATACGAGGGGAACAATACATCTTCTCTAATGGTATGAACACTACTCTACAAAGGAATGGTTTAAAGGTTTGCTTTAGACAAAGGGTTATGTTTTTTGATTGAATAGTGGTAGCAATGAGGACAATATGCACCCGTCTGTCAAGTCACGCCAATTAATTCATGTAAAACATAAAATTATTTAAAACAAAAAATAATTGTTATTTTCAAAACATTAAATAACTGTAAGTAAAATTAAAAAATATTAAATTAAATTTAGAAATTAAAAAATTAAATGTTTAATAATAGCCTGACTGAACATTATGATTGTTAAACAAATTATAATAAATTATCTGTGTTTGATTGCATATAAATAATCTTAACAATGATTATTAAAAATAATTAATTAAAACATAATATTATTTATTATTAAGTTATTTTGCAAATAAAAATGCGATTCTTTTAGATCAAGACGTCTCAGTTGACATTTTTTATGTTAGACCCCATTATTCTCTATATGAATAATAGGGAGACAAGATTTGCGAGCAAAAAGTATGAGCGCAAAAATATCACATCTGATATGCCTCTGATATGTCTTAGTTTAGATGCTTTAATACAAATTCAATGACCACTCCATGCGATTCTGTAGGGCCTGACTGTGTCCTCACTTACATAAATGAGTTGATTCTCATAACGCGCTTTCAAATTGTAGAGAACAGAGGCATCATTGAGATAGGTCAAATTAGACATATCTGTAGCCTTCTCATACTTGGGTGGATTAACCTGTTGACACAGGTCCTTTTTCAACGTTTTCTATTGGGGTTTTAGGTTTCGGTCCATAGTTTTATGGAAAGGGTTTTGGGAATTGAGTCCATTTGAGTGGACATAGGGTTTGTTTTGTGAAGTTTTTGGTTTTCATTTCGGGAGAATATAAGGGGTTTTTGGGGGACGAAAAGAAAAGAGATCAATGATTAGTTGTTGAAAACTTACATAAATCATATGATTATAGTATCTCTCTTTGAGATTATGCAAAACACTGGCGTCGTTGAGGTATGTGAGAGATGCCATATCATCACATTTCTCAAACTTAGGTGGATTAACTTGTTGAACTAGGTCTTTCTTCATTGTTCGCTATTTTACCAATTAATTCCAATTTATATATCATTTGGTTTTTTGTAACAAAAATTTTTATGCATTTTATGGATGCAATCGATTATATAATCTCAAAAATATCAATTGTTATAAACAAAATTAAAAAATAAATGTCCGGTTTGATGGGACAGTTGTGTGTTTGTTATATACCTGTTCTCCTTTGCCACAATCGACAGTAACCATATCGCCTTTAGTGCTCTCGATGTTACCCAACAAATAGCATTCCTTCTCATCGGGAACCCACACCATTTTCTTGCCATCGTATGGCTTCGTCTGATCCTTTCTCTTCATCTCCAGAGAAACGATCAGATACTGTGATGGATCGGGATCTTCGGCCATCGTTGTTGTTGTTTAATCCAAAATCAAACAATTATTTGGTAATCAATGTGTTGTCTATTAGAAACCGCGGCTCCAATGCTAACACAAACGACAGTAAACGGAAAACAACTTCCCAACAGAAGAGCACTTTTAACAGTAACTCATTTATAGCTGGAGAAGAATGGCATATATTTCTATTCGCTGTTTTGAATGCTTTATTAAGATTATAACAGTTTAGGCATGTCTTCAGCCGCATTACTCTCGCCTTATAAGGTTAAGCACGCGATTCCTCTATACTATTCCTCTCCAGTTATATATCCACTGTTTGAGGAGTTGAGCACTTGTACCAAAAGTTTTGACATTTATTTTTAGATCCCGATTATTAGTACACTACTCTAGTTTTGCATTATATAGCGTACACTACTATACATACTGTACATACTCTACATTATGCATATGAATGAATACAGACACGGAATACATCGGAATATATTGAATATCGTTATATAGAATTTAGTAATTTATTAATAATATGCTGTATTAATAAATATAATATATTATATAATATTTCTACCATATACCGACAACATATCAACACAAAATAAATTATAATTTTTGATGAACTTATAAATTATAAATTTTTGAAAATAAACGTCACGTTAATTACAATTAGTGTTAATTAAATTTAATTTAAATTCCCAGTAATTGTTAAATATTAATAAATGTTTGCTTGAAATAAAATATTACAAATGTACCAAATTCAAACAAGCTATTTATACATATCTTCTTATATTTCGTTCATTGTTTTATTTAAAGAATAAGATTCTGTTAAATATCTTTAACAAACAAATCTAATTATAAAGAGTATAAAAATATAAAAATAAAATTTAATAAATGATTTACTAATATATTGCGAACACTCGGGAATGTGGGAAAAAATGCGGGGGCAATGAATTTGTGCATATCATATGTTATACAATCAAAGATATGTATCAAATCATATTATTTTTTATTTTTGTTACCATTTACTACACCTTGATTAAATAGTCAATTATGAATTATAAATTTAATAAATATTTTAGCATAGCGCAATGGCTTGGTTTATATGGTAATTATTTTTAAACTACCTTTCATTTACTGATTTAATTTCAAATTCTTGCAATATATAGTATACTGTATATTAAAAGCCAATTTATTTAACCATTATTTAAGTCATACATTGCAGTTACATATAAAATATGTTTATGCATTCATCAACAAAATCTCATAGAGTTTGGCTAAAACTCAAAGTTTTGTTACATAAAAAATTCATTGAAAGTATGGCAACACTTGATAAGTAAATATTAAATGAGTTATGAAAAAGAAAGATAAAACACTTTTTTAATTACATGAAAAATAAAAACAAAATGATTAAATGCTTTAATGGGGTTTCAAATATGAAAATATTCTCAAATTCATAATCAAATACAGAATTAAATATAAAATTGCATTCAAAACAAGCGCTCATTTCAACGCTTTTGAACGTTATTTCTATTAGAAAAACAAAACTCATGTGTTTTTGAAGTTTTTAAGCCATAAAAATATTGTTTGATTTGAATTTTAAGTTAAAGTTTTAAACCATTTATTCAATTAATGATTGTTTAATACATTTAATATGAGATGCAATCAAATGAAGCCAAAAGCGATTCGTGCCGTCGTTTTCAGTTCACTAGTCGTCAAAATGATATCAATTTCTCCATAAATATAAATGAGGTCTGAATTGAATGCAATTCACATTCAATTGTCATTTAATGAATCCATTGTTTGCCAGAAATACTCGACGTCTTATGGATACCACGTCTGGCCGTCGGCACCCGTTTTGGCACAATTTGTCGCACATTTCCGGTAATTATGAACAATATTTATAAACTATTTACACAAATATAATGACATGTAATAACATTAAATTAATATTCATTATTTATTTCAATTTTCTATCATTGTAACTATAAATTTAATACAACTGTCAATTGATGATGGTGATATTAATTACAATTATTATTAAATGACTATTGGTTTTATATGGTAGGTTTACAAAGAATAGGCAAGGTGCATTTTAATATGTAATTGTGTAATAAGTTACAAAAATGAAATATTCAATGAAATATTCAAATGCAGTAATGAATAAAAATTGTGGTATAAATATGTAAAGTGTGTTAAATGTCAATGAATTACAAACAAGTTTACAAAAACACAAATTTATGAAATAGTATTGAAATAAACATTTAGAAAAAANAAAAATGAAATATTCAATGAAATATTCAAATGCAGTAATGAATAAAAATTGTGGTATAAATATGTAAAGTGTGTTAAATGTCAATGAATTACAAACAAGTTTACAAAAACACAAATTTATGAAATAGTATTGAAATAAACATTTAGAAAAAAGTCATAATTTGTAAAAAACAACATTTTGTTGAATCGAAAGCCACTGTTTTTGTGACAGAATTTATTTTGTATATAAAAACAAAATTCATAAATACATTAAAACATTACGAAACTTAAAAATAATTGAAATTCTTTGAGATTCGTGTCTGAATTGAAAGCTAAGGAAAAAATAACATGTTTTGAGCCAAAGATCCGTGTCTTGGATGTGATTGTGAGAGACAGCAGTTGTTTTTGCAGAGCTTTTTATAACTGTTTCGGCATTAAAATAAAATAAAATGTTTAGATATAATGAACAATGTATACGATTTACGTCTACATTATATATCATATGATAAGCTTCTCTTAACATACATTCGTCCTCACAATTCATCCGACTTTTTCTTAATTGCAAACTCAAAATATTATTGTATTTAAATTTTATTGCATTTAATTTTGTTAAAATTCTGAATCCATAACAATATAAAGCATTTGAAAGAAAATCTAAAGGAAAATAAATAATTGAAATGTTTATTCCTTAACACAGAATATACAGAATATTTTTAAATAAAGATAAAAATAAAGAGATTCTGTGAATTGAATTCTATTCCATGCTTTCATTGCTTATAATTATGTGTAATGAGTGTTAAGTAAACTATTCTCGATCTTTACATTTATAATATGATAATTAGGGAGGAATTCAAGGACAAGAATATTGTGGAGTTAGGCGCCGGCACCGGAATGGTTGGTATAGTTGCCGCTAAAGTTGGCGCTCAGGTGGTGCTGACCGACTCTCATCAATACCCGGAATGCTTACGACTTTGTCGACAAAATGTTGACATAAATGGCGTGAAAGACAATATTGTCGCCATTGAATCATTAGATTGGGGACAATTGGATGAACACGTACTCCAAATGCCGGCATTTGATTACATTTTAAGTTCCGATTGTTTTTACGACCAAAAGGACTTCGAAGACATATTGAGTTCGGTATCGTTTCTAATCGATAAACACCACAAAAAGGGCACAATTTTCTACACAACATATCAGGAAAGGAATAGCGATTGGAGTATTGAATGTCTTTTGAACAAATGGGGCTTAAAATGTGATTACATTTGTTTGGATGACTTCGAGGCCAACACCGGGTGTATCGCTGGAAGTGATATATCCTCTAAACATACCATTCATTTGTTGAAAATTACTAAACATTTAGAGAATCATTGATTGCTGTTTTTGTATAGAATTGTCATTTTATTAATTCATTTATATAATTGTTATTTTATTAAAATGTATGGCTAAAAGTTTAGTGTAAAATAATTATAATATTCATAATAATAATAACAAATAAAGCGACAATAATATGTCCGTTCATACGTAAGGCACTGATGTATTCGCTAACAAATATATGTAAATAATTCATGTTTTATACACTAATTAAAGCCGCCGTTAATGACCGCACAGTTTATGAAATACTCAACTCATACACCAAATAAGGGGTGCATTGTATTCATGGCTCACAGTATTTACCATTTGGTCATTAATTTGTTATATTTATTGTTAGTTAACATTTAATATCAATTATGGGCATAATTTGTTACCATGTTTTACGTGCGGCAAAAATAATATTGCAATCTATTGAAACTAAATATTAAAATCTCATTAAATGAGTTATCGTTTACATTACACCTGAAAATATGGTGCACTTTAAGGAACATTGAATTGAATAAATCATTGGCCCATTCAATGGCACTGGAAGTGGTTTTTCACAATTCATATATGATTTATATTCACAATAAAATTGTTATATTAATATCAAATGTCTGAATGCCAGACATTAGGATTCATTATGTGTTTTCATTTGTAAATCATTGCACTATTTCTTCTGACACTAAAATTAGAAATTCGTTTTCAAATATTAAAAATAGTTATGAAAAACCGGGAATTTTTAGATCTACTAAAATATTTACTGCTAAAAATTTTATACTAAAATGAGATATTCTACTAAAATGTCGTTCAAATCATAATCAACTAAATGTGCCATTAATTTGAAATCAAAGAGTTTTTTTAGAAAAATGAGAGATCATGTGATTATAATCAAAGATGAAATTTGAAAACAATGTTTAACTCATTAAAATACATAAAAGAATATTATCTAATATAAAATTGTGTTAAAATAAAATACATTTAAGAAAAATAGTGTAAATGAGTGCTAAAATTGCTTTAAATCTTTGCTCTGATTATAATTTTTAAAAATATTATGAATTGCAGTTAACTTTAGTCAATAACAAATAGGAACCCATTGGCCTGTGAGGTCGTCTTTGCGGTAATAACGCGGTCTGTTATCGGGAAATATAGTGACCCCAGGAAACGGGTGCTGTTGTATGAACTTAAGCGTAGCCCTCGCGTCCATCACAAAGTTAGGCGGTTCCACATCGGGTGATGTGGACAAGTGCTGCGGACAAACCATAGACAACAATTGGTTTAATATCACCAAACAATTAGGCAATTCATGTCTTAATGCATACCTTAAGGATGAAGTCGTCGTCTTGCGAGAGCCAGAGGTCGACGCCTCTCATCGGCCTGTAATTGAATGGTCCGATTCGTAATAAACCCATTGTTGTGTCGTAAATGTCGAGCATTTCGTGACACCCGGTGTAATACCGGGCACTTCTCAACGATATATCGGGTCCTTTGTCTGTGAAAGTGGCCGCAAAGAACTCACCCGTCTTCACATTCACACCAATGCCGTAAACGATCGGCCAATTGGTGTTTCCCCGCAACGAGTTATTCAATTTGCAAACACAAGCGCTCATCAAATCTATATTAACCGCTTGTTTATGATATGCGTCTATAAAAGAGAGAATATATTTATAATTGCAATCAATTTAAAAGAAAATTGAATTAAATATTACATAAGAGGGCGAGAACTATGTCTTCGGACAGACGTCTGGGATCGTTGAATCCTCCGACCAAATGAAGCTCAAAGTGTCCGTCAGTGAGACCGAGACCTATGTTCACCTCTTCTATCTTTTTGATCATATTTTCGATAAAGTTGTCTAATCTCTGGACATCTGATGTATCGAAATGAGCCAAACAGACGACACCCGAACCCGAATGCCTTAACACTCCTATACAACAAGTGGTCGTGTCTTCGGTTCCGATTATACTTATATTCTCTGCAAAAGGTGTCAATTTATTATCGGATCAAATGCGGTGACAATCCGTGACAATCGTCAACTCACTGTCATGTGGTGTCACTATTCCGTACTCTCGTTGACAAACGTACAGAAGAGCGGCCGAAGAGATCACTTTCGGCGCCTGAGATACCAACGAAACGCTCGATTCCTATCCAATGAGAAAGTGATTAATTGTGACCACAAATCAAGTCAACAGATAATTACCTTAAAGTGTGGATAGCTATCAAACAAAGAGTTGGTATCGTTTGGCACTTCATCGATGACCAGACCATTGATTATTAATGGCATGTCTTAGGACTTGGCTTCAAATGTGTTTGCGGTCAGAGTTTTCGGATAACAATTAGTTTGCAATCAAAACATTGCATTCAATATATGTATGTTTTCAATGTATAAACAGTCAAACCCTTCACTCCTAGTGTTGATTACATAAACATATTTTGCATTTTTAAACTTAAATGTCATTAAAGTGTATAACAATAATTGTTGTTTATATTGAGTATTGTTTTTGTCAAATGTATGGCAGAGAGGAATGGGAGGGGAAGGGGAGGGTTGGGCTCTCAGACACACCACTACTTCACCACTACTTCACTACAGTATCGCACTTAACCATCGCTTCTATGCCAGCATTCAATACAATGTAAGTGAATTTCCAATGCATCCAAAGTGAAGGCAACTTATGTTTGCAATTTTTTTGAGACAAAAAACTTTTTTTTAATATTATAGATTTAAATTTTTTAAAGAATTCTTATTTTCTATACATTGATTGTGAATTGACTTTTGAAGAAAGTTATGACTTTATTAAGAAATTTCAATTGTGTTTTTCACTATAACTTTCACTTTTTATGATAAGTTATTCTTCTCTTCATTGAGAGTTTAATTGGAAAACAAGTTTTTTATGTGAAATATGTGTATTGAATGGCAAATGATAAGCCATGTCCTCCCACTTACACTACAATCTATTGGATTGTTTTCGATGTCATGTCAAACACACAATTAATTATATGTTTTTGTTGTTTGGGTTTAGCTTTTGTTTGTATTAAACGATATGGCATTTCTAAATTGCATTCACTTTAAAGTTTAACTACTTTTAGATATTTTTGAAATAAAGTATGAAATTTACAAATAAATTAATTTTAAGACACTATAAAACTCGTATTTAATATTGTTTTCTATAAATAACTTTTTACATAAAATACTTTTTGTATATAAATTATTATTTATTAGTAATTAAAAATAACTATTACTTTGAAGAAAATGATGCATAATTTATATTACGATACAATGAGTGCTGTATTTCATTTAAATATACATTTTATACTATATTTGACTTAATTTTAAATTAGTGTAAAATTGACGTCGAATTAATTTACTTATCTGAATATTCATATAACTGTAAATAAATGTAATCATTATAAATAGGCACTAATATAACAACATTAATAAATTCCGACATATTCTAAACTCAATAGGTAAATGTAAGTAGAATTTATGATTAAATAAGTTATTTAATTAATTAACTTTAATAAAATTTATATATTAATAAAATATACACATTTATAGTTTATTTTAAAAAGTTATTTCATATTGTAACATGATACTTTTCATATAACAGGAATATTTAACAAAATCCAAATCTTAAATGATAGTCAAAAATATTTATAAATATATTTAAGCATAATCAAATCATAAATAAAAGACAATGACTGCGAATTAACTTTGTAGTTAATAATTAAATTTAAATGTATTTAAACCAGCATCATAGTTTTAGGCTAAAACTTTGAACAAATAGTGAAAAACGTACAAAATGTTGAGCTATTGTTTGGACGTAATTTATATGTGGCGTGAATTGTGTGATCGTAAGTGTAGTCTACTTTTCACATCCTTTTCCGATCACTTGTGTCTCTCAATTGGCATCCAATTCACTGTAAGTCCTCTTCATTTCATTCAATTGCCATTAATTATACACTAATTACACATTAAATGCATTGATTTTATATTTAATAAACCATTTTATATTGTAATGACTTTGAAATGCATATAAAAGTGATAATTATTGGTAATGAATGGCATTCGGAAAGCGGTGTAAACCACGTGTACTAACGCTGTGTTTGACTCTTAGGTTGACTTAATTGTTGCTAAATATAGTTGACGTCGAGATGTCGGGGGCTTTAAGTGTATTGTCTCTGAAACAGGAAGACGTGGCAAAGTTTCTGTCATGTCATACACACATCGGTTCCAATAATATGGACTATCAGATGGAACAGTATGTCTTCAAACGCCGATCCGATGGTATGAGTTGTTGACAGCACTTCCTCTCATATCTATTGATACTTAACTGCAAACTGTGTCCCAAAACAGGCATTTATATAATCAATTTGCGAAAGACATGGGAGAAGCTGTTGTTGGCCGCGCGCGCTATCGTTGCCGTCGAGAACGCTTCGGATGTCTGTGTCATCTCCAACAGACAGTACGGCCAGAGAGCAGTGTTGAAGTTCGCGTCGGCCACCGGCGCCACACCCATCGCCGGCCGATACACTCCGGGAACGTTCACCAATCAGATTCAGGCGGCCTTTCGCGAGCCCCGTCTTCTGGTGATCACTGACCCGCGCATCGATCACCAGCCGATCACCGAAGCCTCGTATGTGAACATTCCGGTGATCGCCTTCTGCAACACGGATTCGCCGCTGCGTTACGTCGATATCGCGATTCCGTGCAATAATAAGGCGCCGCACTCTATCGGTCTGATGTGGTGGCTGTTGGCCCGGGAAGTGCTTCGTCTGCGCGGTTCCATCAGTCGCGAGACTCCCTGGAAAGTGATGGTCGATCTCTACTTCTATCGCGACACCGAAGAGCAGGAGAAGGAGGAACAGATAGCTCTGGTGCCGGAGAGACCGGCTAAGGCAGAGGCGGAAAGCGCTGGCTTTACTGAGAACTGGGCCACCGATGCGGCGGCTGATCCGGAGCCGGCGGAAGCGGCCGCACCCGTTGCCGTCGCCGCCCAACAGGACTGGAGCGCTACGATGGGAAATGAAGAGCAATGGGCCGCTCCCACAGCTGCCCCCACCGCTGTTGACGACTGGGGCGCTCAGACCACCGATTGGGCCACATAGA